TTTTATAAATTTGAATTATATTAATTATATTAATGTATAAAATTGATTTTTAAGAAAATATTTAGCAAAAAGTTATTTTATTTTATAATTTATTTTTTATGATTATTTTATTTATTTTATATAATTTACATTATTCAATAATCTATTATTTTTTAATTGTAGTTTGATTCTTTTGTAAATATTTTTAATTGATATGTTTAATTATTTATTAATCGATTAAAAATAAATCGTTTATTATAAAAGAATGAGTGAAAAGGGAGTGTTTCAAAAAATTTATAATTTTATAATAAACTATTTTATAAAAATATTTTATTATTTTTTCAATTTTATTGTCAATTTCAATATCAATGTCAAATATAAGAAAATATTCTATTTATTTTATATTTTAAAAATATTTAACCTTGGTAAATTATGATTTTTTTTAAAATAAAAACACATTTAAAATACATTTTATTATAAATAAAAGATTTTTATTTATGAAAATAAATAATATAATATATAAAGAATTTATTTTTATCGAATTAATTTAATTTAATCACTATGAAATAAAAATAAAAATAAATATATGTAAATATATTATCAAATTATTGTGATTTTTTGAAAGTTCCAAATTTTCTATTATAAATTATAAATATATAAGTTATAAATTTTCTATTTCACTCTATATATTCTACATATATGTAGTATACGTATGTATTATATTGACAAACATATACGTATATATTTATTCATAATATGTATATATTTATATTTATTAACATTGCTATAAAAAAAAGAATTTTTAAAAAATTATCATTATATTATTATATTAAATAATTTAATAATTAAATTAAGTTAAAAAACTATTTAATTCATAATATAATTTTATAAAGAAAAATAAAAAGAGAATTCGATTTCATAGCATAATCTGCGCAGAAAATCCATGAAAATACTCCAAACTGAGCACCTATGCGTACGCATTTCCAAATCACGTGACCTCAGCGGTCAAATTCTCTGAAGGAGACGCTCATTCGCTATCCATGCATCACGAAAGAAAGACAGTTGAATTTTTTATACGTTTCATATCACGGGCAAGATGAGTCAGTAGTTCACGAAGCAATTTGCACACGAAAGTGTGCCGACACAACTAATTAATCATGGAGTAAGTAATATTTATTATCTTTAAAAAAGTAACTTATACTCCACTTTAGACCATCGTGCAATATGTCTGCCATTTTGTAAATCTATTACATTGACCACAAATAGTATTGCTTAAACAAACTATTTTATTAAATAATATGAATCAATTTTTATTGAATTTTACTTTATTATTATAAATTATATTTTAATATCTTATAATACAATTAAATACAATGAAAAAATTTAACCAGATGATATGATCTAATGTTGCGTCATAAAGATAGTTGGCCATTTTTTCCTATATTCTGTAAATATATTTTACATTTATAAATTATTAAGTTATATAAGCAATGAACAACATATTTATATTACGTATATTTAAATAATATATTAAATCAATTTTTAAATAATTTATTAATTTTATCTTAAATTATAAATATATTGATAAATTATAAAAATATTTTATTTTATTTCTTTAATATCTTTTTTTATTTTAGATTAACAATTAAAATTTCAACTTAATGAAAAACAAATATTTCAAAAAATAAGATATTTCTTTATATTATTCTCAAAATACTTAATGAGAAATAAAATATTAATATCTTTATCATAAATAAATTATTCAATTTATTTATTTATTTTATCTGAGATATATATATATATATATTTAATATT